AAATATTTAGGCATGTGATCATTTTCCTTAATAAGGCAATAGTGGTCTTTTTAAATCGATGGAAAATTTTGTTTTCATTTTAATAACATACCTATTGATTTATCAGTTTTGTTAGTAATAATTTCTTTATTATTTAGTGCGACATACTTTTATCGAAGCATGTCAACAAATCCCTGTACACGTGTACAGTACAGCTACGCTTTGTAGGTAAGACTATTTTTGATGAAATTTATGAGTTGTTTTACCCTCCAACTGGCAATAGTAATTATATCAAGTGCTTAAACACCAACAAATAATACCGAAATACCAAATATGTGGTCTGTTTACAATTATCTATTCTTAGACACGGGATTCCGATATTGCTACCTGTATAAAAAAATACCTGAGGACGCGTCATAACAGTGCACGGTTGGTGCGCGCACTAGCGTAACATAGCTTTGGGAAAATAGGCATAGCAACCCGCCATATCTCTTTTGTTAATTGATTTCGGTATCATTTTTAACTCACACTATAATAGTGTATATTCTGTCAATTTTTATTCTTTGCTATATTAGCATTGTATGTATATTCCACTTCATAGTGTTTTAATCCTAATTCCTAAGTAATTCGTGTGTGATATACAAGTATTTATTCACTATTAACTATGTCTTTTATTTATCTATTCTGAATACTATTTATATGTACTTGCATTTTATGCTTTTCATGTATTAATATTAATTGAACAAAAATTTAATATTTTTATATATATATCCCGGGGGTCTTTCTAGGTAGGGGACTCCCAATCACTTAGAAACATGTGATATGTATACTTTCTTTTTCTGTGATGATTATTACTGTGTGGTTGTTGTTTTTTTATTTATTAATATATGTGAGTATCTCCCTTTACTTGTTATATAATATGTTATTGTTATTTTTATACATGTTTGTCGCAATAATAGCTCTCAAGAGCTAATGTTCCTTGTTTACCTGTATGCGACGTTAAAAAAGTTTCTTGTATCTTGTTGCATCTTGTATGTCAATTTCGAAACTCTTGTAGTAATTTAAATTATGATTTAAATTATGACCATCTTACTATAATTGTCTAGCTTGTACCTGCTCTGCTGAACACGAAACAGTATCTCATTACTTTTTGGAACGTCCTATTTTTCAATTCCCCTAATAGTTATGGCTACCACAATCACATTGATATAACTATTCTTCTCCAGGGCTGTCCTGATTGTGATGGGCTTACAAATAGATGAATACTTGATGATGTACATTTTTCTTTTTCTTTTTGGAAAATCCCGTCGTTTTAATTTTTGTATGACTTAAAGCCACGATTGTATATGTTAAACAAAAATATACTGATTCTATATTAGTTGCCTATACCACGGACTTAGATAATCTAATTCCGTGCCTATACCACAGACTCAGATAATCTAATTCCGTGCCTATACCACAGACTTAGATAATCTAATTCCGTGCCTATACCACAGACTTAGATAATCTAATTCCGTGCCTATACCAAGAACACAACGTTACATTTTCAGCGGGGGTCGAGTGACCTAAGAATAAACCATTTATGTAATAACTGGGACAGCATATACCCTGAAAGGAAGTAACTAAATCAAATCACATATAAAGTGTGAATGTTCTTTAGAGGAAGGGACAAAGTTCAGTGTATATACATAAGTATAATACTTCGTACCGCACGTGTTATAGCATGTACTCAATCTATCCTCGATAGTTACACTTGTACACTAATTACAGCAGGCCATCGATTCGTGTCCACTATATGGCTAACAAGTGTGTGTATAGCAGGCGTTCTGCTCCACTTATCACACCGGGTTATTTCTGACAGTATTGTAAACATGGACGCCGCCACAGGATTGGTGTTTGTTGTGGTATTTCTGTCAGTTTACACATTATTGTCCAGAACACGACAATCAAAGACAACAACGAACAGGAAACTGCCGCCATGTCCACCCTTCTGTCTGCCGATCGTCGGTCATCTGCCATTACTGGCTCAGAGAGACTTGCTAGAAACATTGACATTACAAAGACAGAAGTTGGGCGACATCTACCGTCTGCAAATTGGAAGAACCACGGTGGTAGTTATTAGTAGCTACCGTCTGCTCTATACGGCTTTCGTGAAAAACGCTGACATCTTCTCAGACCGTCCACACACAGTCTTCTTGGAGTTATGTAAAGACAACGGTAGGAGAGTTTACATAATATTCTTTCCCAATTTCCCTTTGATAGGACATGGGTTGTTTTCTTTACAGTATCCACATACTACATTATGTAATTGCTATATCAACATTGACTTTAGCTTTGTTAGCTTCACACAATAAATGTGAAATTCGTTTAGGTATCCAGTTTTTCGTATAAGATACATCATAGCAAGCTGACAAATAATTTGGCAATATTGCATTCCCTTCTTATATAGCACTACTCGTTCCGTGTATAATGCCATCTTAACATGTTCAATGCTTGTCATCTAGATATGGATTTATCTCAGCTGTCACTGAGTTTGATCCGTAGCACTCTTCATTTGATGACAAACTGATTTCGACCCATACTATATCTGAAATTATAAAAACAGTACTTTTTGTACAACTTGAACACTTCGATGAGATAAGGTAAAATAATGTATTCATATTGTTTCCAATTTTCTAAAGTAAGTGTCACTAAGCGCTCGAAACAATGGTATGATAATAAGGTTAGTTAGTGCAGGGTCCTTTGTGGTGAAGACGGATATGACAAACGCAGCAATTCTTGGTGTTGTCTGACGGTTGAACGTACAGCTACATGTATCTACAGCTTTACTAAGTTATACGTACAGGTACGGTTATCTACAGCTATCTACAGCTTTACCAAGTTAGACGTAAAGCTACATGTATCTACGGCTATCTACAGCTTTACTAAGTTATACGTACAGCTACATGTATCTACAGCTATCTACAGCTTTACTAAGTTATACGTACAGTTTCATGTATCTACAGCTATCTACAGCTTTACCAAGTTAGACGTACAGCTACATGTATCTACGGCTATCTACAGCTTTACTAAGTTATATGTACAGTTACATGTATCTACAGCTATCTACAGCTTTACTAAGTTATACGTACAGCTACATGTATCTACAGCTATCTACAGCTTTACTAAGTTATACGTACAGCTACATGTATCTACAGCTATCTACAGCTTTACTAAGTTATACGTACAGCTACATGTATCTACAGCTATCTACAGCTTTACTAAGTTATACGTACAGCTACATGTATCTACAGCTATCTACAGCTTTACTAAGTTATACGTACAGCTACATGTATCTACAGCTATCTACAGCTTTACTAAGTTATACGTACAGCTACATGTATCTACAGCTATCTACAGCTTTACTAAGTTATACGTACAGCTACATGTATCTACAGCTATCTACAGCTTTACTAAGTTATACGTACAGCTACATGTATCTACAGCTATCTACAGCTTTACTAAGTTATACGTACAGCTACATGTATCTACAGCTATCTACAGCTTTACTAAGTTATACGTACAGCTACATGTATCTACAGCTATCTACAGCTTTACTAAGTTATACGTACAGCTACATGTATCTACAGCTATCTACAGCTTTACTAAGTTATACGTACAGCTACATGTATCTACAGCTATCTACAGCTTTACTAAGTTATACGTACAGCTACATGTATCTACAGCTATCTACAGCTTTACTAAGTTATACGTACAGCTACATGTATCTACAGCTATCTACAGCTTTACTAAGTTATACGTACAGCTACATGTATCTACAGCTATCTACAGCTTTACTAAGTTATACGTACAGCTACATGTATCTACAGCTATCTACAGCTTTACTAAGTTATACGTACAGCTACATGTATCTACAGCTATCTACAGCTTTACTAAGTTATACGTACAGCTACATGTATCTACAGCTATCTACAGCTTTACTAAGTTATACGTACAGCTACATGTATCTACAGCTATCTACAGCTTTACTAAGTTATACGTACAGCTACATGTATCTACAGCTATCTACAGCTTTACTAAGTTATACGTACAGCTACATGTATCTACAGCTATCTACAGCTTTACTAAGTTATACGTACAGCTACATGTATCTACAGCTATCTACAGCTTTACTAAGTTATACGTACAGCTACATGTATCTACAGCTATCTACAGCTTTACTAAGTTATACGTACAGCTACATGTATCTACAGCTATCTACAGCTTTACTAAGTTATACGTACAGCTACATGTATCTACAGCTATCTACAGCTTTACTAAGTTATACGTACAGCTACATGTATCTACAGCTATCTACAGCTTTACTAAGTTATACGTACAGCTACATGTATCTACAGCTATCTACAGCTTTACTAAGTTATACGTACAGCTACATGTATCTACAGCTATCTACAGCTTTACTAAGTTATACGTACAGCTACATGTATCTACAGCTATCTACAGCTTTACTAAGTTATACGTACAGCTACATGTATCTACAGCTATCTACAGCTTTACTAAGTTATACGTACAGCTACATGTATCTACAGCTATCTACAGCTTTACTAAGTTATACGTACAGCTACATGTATCTACAGCTATCTACAGCTTTACTAAGTTATACGTACAGCTACATGTATCTACAGCTATCTACAGCTTTACTAAGTTATACGTACAGCTACATGTATCTACAGCTATCTACAGCTTTACTAAGTTATACGTACAGCTACATGTATCTACAGCTATCTACAGCTTTACTAAGTTATACGTACAGCTACATGTATCTACAGCTATCTACAGCTTTACTAAGTTATACGTACAGCTACATGTATCTACAGCTATCTACAGCTTTACTAAGTTATACGTACAGCTACATGTATCTACAGCTATCTACAGCTTTACTAAGTTATACGTACAGCTACATGTATCTACAGCTATCTACAGCTTTACTAAGTTATACGTACAGCTACATGTATCTACAGCTATCTACAGCTTTACTAAGTTATACGTACAGCTACATGTATCTACAGCTATCTACAGCTTTACTAAGTTATACGTACAGCTACATGTATCTACAGCTATCTACAGCTTTACTAAGTTATACGTACAGCTACATGTATCTACAGCTATCTACAGCTTTACTAAGTTATACGTACAGCTACATGTATCTACAGCTATCTACAGCTTTACTAAGTTATACGTACAGCTACATGTATCTACAGCTATCTACAGCTTTACTAAGTTATACGTACAGCTACATGTATCTACAGCTATCTACAGCTTTACTAAGTTATACGTACAGCTACATGTATCTACAGCTATCTACAGCTTTACTAAGTTATACGTACAGTTATATGTATCTACAGCTATCTACAGCTTTACTAAGTTATACGTACAGATACATGTATCTACAGCTATCTACAGCTTTACTAAGTTAAACGTACAGTTGCACTTGCAGTCAAACGTACTTTGAAACGTGCTGGAAAGTTAAAAAAAAAAAAATATTAGTTACACATTTCGAGAAAACGAGGAGGAATACAAACTCATTAATATAAACAAGATATAATATGAAATCATGTCTTTTAGTCCGCTCTGGGAGGAAAAGCTGGAGAATAACAACGACACTACGGAGGGAATAGAGGTGTTGTAACGGCGCATTTTATTATTAATAAATTGGATATGAAATTAAAAAGCAAAATTGAATGGAAAAACGAAAACAAAAATAAATGAACAATATGGGAGATAAAGTTAGAAAGGATGAAACGCCAACAGCTGATCATATACAGTGTGTAGAGCAATATCAGACTGTACCGAGAGGAAGGCAAATATAGGCAGAAGGGAACATTCACTAGTTTTTTCGAAACAGGTTAGAGAAAATAACCAAAGGACAGTATTATTGTAATAAAGTAAATAAACAGGTTTAACACAGGGACTGAACGTTGACGAACGTGCCCAGTCTTATAAAAGATTAGCTGTATACCAATCTGATTAAAATCATCTGTTACATGGCTCCGCCTGAACATCTGAATGTGCCGCGGTCAGGGACACGTTCAAGTGACCTTTAGATGAACCAATCAGACTTTTGCCAGTGAATCGGAATATCATGGTTGATGGATAAATAGCGAGGGGTATCGAACAGATTATTTTTTCCAAAACAAACATGGCGGCGGGAAGTGACGTTTCTACGACGCCAAGGAAAACGTGCCCATTGGGTAATAATTGCGTAGGCAACACCGCAATACAGTCTTTCTTCTCTAATAAAGCTTCGAATATCTTTTTCTGTTCGGGTTTCAGACTTTCGCATCATTCTCATCAATGTCCGCCATATTTGTTACAACTCCGAGCGCCCTTTTGAAAGAGGGTCTCTGATTGGTCAAATTTTAATGAGTATTTATAAATATAAAGGTCACCTGAACGTGACCCTGACCACGGCACACTCATATGTTCAGGCGTAGTACGAAGTTAACGAAGCCATGTAACATACAAACGGGCCCAGACTTATATCAGTTAGCTGTATACAAACGGGCCCAGTCTGATAAAAGGTTAGCTGTATCCAAACGGGCCCAGACCTATAAAAGGGTAGCTGTATACAAACAGGCCCAGTCTTATATAGGCTAGCTGTATACAAACGGGCCAGGTCTGATAAAAGGTTAGCTATATACAAACGGGCCCAGACTTATAAAAGGTTAGCGGTATACAAACGGGATAGACTTATTAAAGGTTAGCTGTATACAAAAGGGCCCAGACTTATATAGGCTAGCTGTATACAAACGGGCTAGACTTCTAAAAGGTTAGCTGTATACCAACGGGCCCAGTCTGATAAAAGGTTAGCTATATACAAACGGGCCCAGACTTCTAAAAGGTTAGCTGTATACCAACGGGCCCAGTCTGATAAAAGGTTAGCTATATACAAACGGGCCCAGACTTATATGGGCTAGCTGTATACAAACGGGCCCGGACTTATATAGGCTAGCTGTATACAAACGGGCTAGACTTCTAAAAGGTTAGCTGTATACCAACGGGCCCAGTCTGATAAAAGGTTAGCTGTATAAAAACGGGCCCAGTCTTATAAAGGTTAGCTGTATACACACGGGCTAGACTTATAAAAGGTTAGATGTATACAAACGGGCTAGACTTCTAAAAGGTTAGCTGTATACAACCGGGCCCAGTCTTATATA